ATTTAAACCGATCGTTTAAATGCACTTCCTCTCCGACCGAGTCCCAATCAAACTCTCAACCCTCCCGATACCAAGTCTTTCCATGTTACGCAGACTACCAACAGGGATACCTCCTTTATAGCCATCCCAACAGAAAATTACAATGTTCGCTAAAAACGTTATATTTTTCACGAATCTAAGAACGAGTGGTTCCATATAAAATTATGAAAATTCAGATTTCAAAAAAGACCGAATCGTAACGCCCTCGCGACGAACAGTCTCGTCAGCGCGAGGGCTAATTACGGTCCGCTGTGCATCGGCAATGTTCGACGTTTGTTTCATCCACTTTTTCACCACGGTCCATTTGACTTCCTTTTCCGCTGAAAAAAAAAAAAAAAAAGTTCCCGTGACGAGCAACGTAAACTGTCCTGCCGAGGCTTTTATCATTCTCCCTCTAGGCCTTTTTGCCTCGCATTTGCGGCCCATTTTCACAGGCCACGGTTTTTAATGCGACCGCGCTCGCAGGAATACCTTTTCTCTAGCCAGGAGGAAACTAATCGGAGACCAGCCTGCACGAGCGAATGCGTCCATCCGTGGGTGCAGAGCCGCCCGCCAGGTGCGTTGTGATTTACCACGAGCGCTGGAAGTCGATCGACGGTTTGGAAAAGTGGCTGGGGATATCCCGGGACCGATCCCCTCCGTTATTAAAATTTCTCACGAGTCTCTGCCTCTCTCTTTCTTCCTCTGCTCCCCTGCTTTCTCTCTATCAAGCAACGATAAAACCGGAACGAGGAGAAAATGCCGCTGCCGCGATAATCGTAATTCGCTATGGTCTCCTCTTGTTGGGGATGCGACGAGTGCTTATGACGTCGACACGGGGGTTAGTTAAAAATTGAGTTGCTTCGATATTAGCAAGGGTGTGATAAGTTTTTTTCATTGAAAAGGGGGGAAAAGATGAAGATTCTTTAATTTCCAGCACGAGGAACGAGACCTGTTTAAGAGGGGCATTTGGTTCAGAGGCAAAGGCTAATTTGGATAAATTTTTGTCTAAATTTAGCAATAGCAACCCGTATGCTTTGGAAGCCTATAGTTCACTGTACCAGTGATTGCACAAAGTTATCAGTGATTGAATAACAGTATGGCGTTAACGAACATGTTATGTCTCTAACAGCTGCACAATGTATTATAAATTCGAACTTGAAGGGCAGGTAGAACTGGTCGAACGAAACCAAAACGTTTTAATACACGTACTTCCGAGTACTCTCGTAGATATTCGGTCTGGACATTTGTAAGTCGATATGTAGCTCTCTGTACATACGACTGCACACGGTGTAGAGTAACCGATATCTCAACAGTTCGCCGTGCCAATTTCGAACGTGTACGAAATTCATTGGGAAAACGCGTAGGAGGCGGCTTTAAAATGAATAGGCGCCATTTTGGGCGGCGTTGGTCGTCCAAAGAGCCATCGACGTACGAATTGGCTAATATCTTTAGAACTTTGTACCAACCAGTTCCTAGACCCTTTAATTTCTGTCCAAAGTTCCTCTCTATAATGTATTCATACCCCTAACACTCGAGTCTATCCCTTTCGTTCGAATCTATTCAGCGCCATTTCAATTTTAATCATTGGTAACTGCGTATAGTAATCGAGCTTATACGCCCCGAGACCGGAGAAACAGCTCGCAGCGAAGTTATTGAATATGAATAATCATAGGCTTGGACTAAAAAACAACACGATCCCCTCGGGCTCCCTTAAAGATTCGCAAACAGAGAAGCTGAGACTCTTAACCCCTTTAGCCCTCCGCGCATTAAAATGTACATAAAATTCATCAAATTAAGAAACGCCTGTACTTTACTGTAAATAGAAACCGAGATACCCTGTGCAAAACGGATGCTGTGCGTAACATCATCTGTTGATTATTTTATAAATTATTCGAATCTATCGTGTACTGGAAATTTACGAGGCTACAAAATTGTTATTTCTATCCTGAGAAATCTAACAGCACCGTCAAATAAGGTTACTTGTAACACTTACGTTTTGGTCTCCTCGAAGCAAACCGATGAAGGTTAAATTATTAATTCTTGTGTGAAAAAACGTAGCGATCCCATTTGACGGTAACTTTCTTCAACTTTTCTGTTCGATTCAAACGTTGTAATATATAGTGCGCGATGGAATATCTAGTATCTCCGACTAATGTGAAATTTTCTCTTGATATGAATTCGCTTATCCTCCTGCGAGAAGCTCGATTCTATTCCCCTCGGATGACGAAAAGAATACCAAACGTTCGGGCGAGTGGCGCGGAATACCATTATAAACTCTCGCGAGAAAGAAAATCGGTCTGAGACGGGCCAAGTGTACGGTCCTTCGGCAATATTAAATGTTGTTCGCGAGACTGAGGCAATCTGGCGACGTAGAATGCACACATCGGGCATTATTAATCAGACGTTTGAACTGGAGCAGGGAAGTGTTTGTCGGCGTGCAAGTGGACGAGCGGATGATTTATGAACTTGCCCGATACTGGCTCGCGAGCTTGCGTTGTATTCGTGGACGCCGTTGTTAAGGGAGCAGACAAAGTTCTTTGACTTTGCCGAAATCGATTTATTCGATATATGCGCGTATAATTTATGAGGACACGCAATAAAAAGAAGAGTCAAACGAAATTATTATTACTCTATACCACTACTATAGACATAGAGTAAGGAATGAAAAAGGTTTTCCTGTTGCGTGGATGAAAGCAGTCTGTTGCTCCTAGCTTCCGGTTAAAGTTTAATTATTTTCTCCCTACAGTTACGGTACAAAAAGAAAAACCCTTTAGAATTTCTTCTTTAATGCGATTACGAAGATCAGCTGGAACCTTTTCGACTCTTTTCTTTAGCTTACGATTATTTTTATGGAATTTCCGTTATTTTCCCAAATAGATGGTATCATTTGGGGCCACCCCCTATAAATCGAAATTTAATTCAACGTGGGACGGGAGAGGGGAGGAAACGTGCATAGCAGCGCGCACTTAATACCCGCCTGGCAATATAAGCCGCTGTTAATAACCGGTAGGAGTATTTCGGGGCAGTTTCCACCGGCTGGAAAAATAGTAATATCCCACGAAAGGGGTAAGTAAGGGTGCATTTCATTACGAGTCTCTCCGTGAGCGAGAGTTATCAGGATTAGAAGTATCCACCCCCTTCCCCATCCGATAACAGGAAATTAATTATGAAGTTCGAGCCATAGCGTAGGAAGGGATAGGGTCGCAATCGTGATACATGTTCTCTGGCGACGGACGTGATTCGATATATTTAACTGCTCGTGGAATCGCGACCCTTGGTTCCTTCCCTGGTAACCACGTTTGACGAGAAACCAGCGAACCGCGTCTGGCTTTTGTCCCCGCTGATTTTTCTCCAATCCTATTCAACTGTTATAACTGGTTTGCGTTGTCTAAGTCGTAACCGTAGTGTCGATTTAAAAAATATTGCGAATCTGCACGAAATTCGCAGTAATAAATAACAAAGTTACCTATGGCAAAAAGCTGATTAATAGGTTACCGGTCGGTAGAACGTTAATAAACTATCGATTATATAAAACTTCCCTCCCGATAACAATTCTAAAAATAGACTCGTATAGCGAGAAAAAAACTAACGCAACGTGCAAAATAACGAATATTATTTTTTCAAATGAACTGAGAATAAATTCGTCTCTTGTTATCCCAAATACCTATTATAATTTCTAGTACCACCACATCCTTTAACGACAAGTTCATCTAAAATTTCACCATACACAAACACCTAATAACATCCAACGATGGCAATAAGCGAAAACAATGATTCGTCCCATCAGATTTTAACGTGACCTCCCGGTACAACAGTCTGCTCGATGGCAGGGTTTCCGTATCCGGAATTACCGCGGCGTCAGTAATTACCGTATGGGTAACTCGACCAGTGTTACTAATCAGATCTGTTTGCACAGAGGTTCCGCGGATTCTACTCGCATTCTCGTTTAATTTCTACAACGTAATGCATTTTGCGAGCCGCTTTACGGGAGCGTGCACGTTATCGTTATCAGCGGGCGGAACGTATCGTGCACAGAAGTTCGCTTGGCACTGTTGCTCGAAACCGGAATGGCCATTCTTTCGAGTTCCCTAGAGTTTCGCCTACAGCTGACTCGTCGCTAGACGGACGTTCAACGTGACTCATTGTCGAGTGCACACACTGCACACGTTAAGCGCAGAGGCTCGACGAATCTGTAAGACGACGCTTAACGCTTCGGGGTACGTCCTTAAAATTTACAACGATAAACGGGGTCATTTTGGTCTCGAGTAAATAGAGACAGACGAAACCAGAGATTTTATTTTGACAAGTAGTATTCAATCTTTATTTTATCTATGGGAATCGTTTTTTTTTTTTTTATTAATATGTATAATAGAATATTTCATACAATAGATAACAGAGAGTTGGTTGACTTAGCAAAAAAGAGGATTAATAGGCTACCGGTCGGAAAATTCAAAGGGGTCTAGTAATTCCATAGTTTGAGTTGCTACTAGTGTGACGTTCAGCTGTTTTTAGTATATTAATATCATTTACATGCATCTTTGATTTTTCGTTCCATCAATTCTTTTGTGGGAAAAGCACTCGATTAAAAACCACTGTCATGGATCGACACGTGCATCGGCGAATCGGCTTTAAAATAAAGTATCGTCACTACTCGTCCTTTGTCTCGGATGCGCGAAAAAGACTATCTGCGTAACACATGTTTACAACCAGTGCTTTTTAGGACGACCGTATAGACACCTACCTTAAAAAGTTCGTTCTTATAAAAGAACATATATATATATTGAAATGAAAATCTGTACGCGTTCAAAGCAAAAGAATGACACGAAAACTGAACATTTCCATTTGGAAAAAAAAGTACCGGTTACTACCTACGTGTGTTCAACGAGTGCGCTGCGTGTGCGTCGCCTGAAGGGCACAGAGCACGTTAGAACGAAAGGACGTTGCACAGAGAGTAGCGTTAAGGGGGTTACTGTACTTACACTGACAGACGTGGAGTTTCAGCACGTTCCCCCGGAGTTGTGCACATCGACCTGGCCCCGACGTCGATTCCTCGCACACACGGCAGACGTCCTGCGGGTCCAATCCCGCTGGCACGGGTCGTCCAACGTCCAGGGAACCGGTGATCAACTGGCACACGCACGTTTCATCCTGGGCACAGAGAGACGAGTCGTCCAAAGCGAAATCAACGTCGCGTCTGCTCTCGAATCACTGGCCAGCCACGTGACTGCCCATGGGGAACCACTTGGAATTCGCACGAGACACGATGACCGCTCCTGTACCGAAAACCCGTCACGGTCTCTCGAACAACGTCGATTGACGATCCCTTCCGACCAGCGAAAGGATCATAGACGCTCGACTCGCGCACGTATTTCGTCCGGATAGATAGACGGGCCGCGAATAAAAAACGCGAAGGACGTACTTTGTCGCGGCGAGCGAAACAAAAACAAAAGGCACCGTAGAAGCAACGGTTGAGAAAGTAGAGGGAGAGACAGGGAGAGACACAGAGGGAGTAAGCGTACGAACGTGACAGCGAGAGAAAGGGTAGAGAGAAAGAGACAGATAGACGTAGATAGAGAGGGACAGAAGAAGGAGAGGACGAAAGACCCGCGGTTTCTCCCTGAGATTTCGAGCTGCACTGCAAACGGGAACAGTCAGTCCTCACTAAATCGGAGTTTGGTTACGTACTCGCGGCTGAGAGACTTTCGGATCTGCGCAGTTGCTCGACTCACCACCACCACCACCGTCGCTATTCCCACCACCATTGCCGCCGCCGTCTCCGCCACCACCGCTACCCACCATCGTGCTAACCCCAAACCTCTACGGCTCCTCTCGACTCCAACCCTAACCTCCCAGCCGGCAGCGCCCTAACTACGCCTGCCGAAAGCTCCAAGCCACGCGTGAACACGAGATTATTCTTACTCGTCGAAAATTAGTTCCAACAAAGTTAGCCGGGAGATTAAATCTACATATGTGCATACAACCAGCGAATGTGTATGCAACCACGGAGGCCTGTGTGCACGTATTGCGGGACGAATGCGGTAATTGCGATTTAGAATCGAGAAATGGCATCGCCGTCGATGCGGTCTTGATCACAGGGAATCGATGCAGTCGGCTGAGTTTAGGGAATTTTATTCGAACGGATTACGAATTCTCTTTTTTCTCTCTAGAGTTTTTCGTTTTATTTTCCTGCAGTAATGCGTGGCTTTAGCGGAGTATCAAAAATTGAAAATCAAAAATCGATACCGGAGCTTTAATAATGTTTGTTATACATACGCACGTCCATACGCAACATTTTTAGTTGAGAGCACTGGAACAGAATTTTGAACAACTAAATGCACGAATGGTTAAGTACACGGGTTTCTATGAAAACGTTTTTGTACGATATTTCCTTTCATACATTTCTTGTTTACCTTTTTACACGGGTGTTGGAAGTTATGGAACAAATTCTCTATTTTACCGTTAACAATATGTGCATTTTTTACACGATATTCTCTGAAACGTGTCCACCATGTAAAAAGAGAATCGAGTGTACAGCGATTTGTTCGTGACGTTTATTCGATTAAACGGTTAATTTTTATTTGTTCACGGTGAAATGTTTTACTCTACGATTCAAATTTTAACTTAAATATGTAATTTCAATAATTATTCGCCATAAAATTTCTCAACGACGCGATACGTCGTCTCGAATTTACTAAATGTCGCGAATTAATATCACGTATATGCGTTTCTTTGTTTCAAATAAAATAATCGGTCCTCGACGTGGTTATTGAAATTAAATCATTGAAACGATTTTCGAATGGCTGAACACATTACGATTCGAAACGAAAATAAAAGTGGAATTATAAGAATGAAATACGATTTATCTTTGGAATTAACTAAGGCAAAAGAAAGGGTTGGATATAACTTGCTAAGACGGTTACTTTTAATACTTTGATTTCCTCGTATAGCGAAGAACAATACGATCATTGTCTGGGTCGCAAAGAATAGCCAATGAGAAACCTTCGTGAACTGAAATGAAAGGAAGGAATTGCAAGAAACGCGTACAAATTTTCCCAACGGGAAAGCTCCGATAGTAAAAGAAAAAGATTCTTGTACGAAGCCACGCTTGCTAAAGTTCGTTGCTCCGTACATGTTGTCTCCGCACATTCTGCGGAACGTTGGCCGTTTGCCAAAGTCATTCTCACATAATTTCAGGAGAATATAAGCGCCAAAAAATACACGAGACTTACGACTATAATTCCGCTATAAATCTATAAACGAGAAGAATAATTGCTGGGACTTCTTACGAGTGAAACGTTAACGTGACTCAGCTTAATTAAATTTGATACGTTCGGGCGATAACGTTATCGCTTTAATTCACGAAGATCGCGAAAATATACGGTGAAAGGATATGTAGTGTGCACCTACGTATCCGTTTGCCTCTGTTTCCTCGTAAATGATAGGATACTGTGAAATCGTACGTTTTGCTAATTAACCGTGAGACATCAGATACTCGTGTTGTGATACAGAGCTGATGGAAGATAGCTTATTCCAACTATTGAAAACACGCATAATAACATATTATTATCGAAGAAATAACGGTTGCGTGAAATCTGATCCACACGACATACCAGTGCCATCTAACGGCAAACACAGCAAACCGTTTGACCGTACGTCGATAAGGTTATCGTTTGCTATCGTTCATTTTTATCCTGCAATTGCAAAGTGTTTGTATTTTATATCGATCACATTTAAGTGTACTGTAAAACTTGTACGAAATTATATACCGAATTAATAATTTCTGAATATAACTCGCTACTCAATTACACAAATAAAAAAGAAATTTTCGAATGTACCCTTGACAGATTATTTGCGTTGATAAATTAGATTAAAAATAGAGTTTCCAAACAGGTAATAAAAGAGAAGATTGAAAGCCGAATAAATACGTACATGTTCGTTGTCACGTACGTTAACGTAACCTAATTTTTGTAATATTGAATGCACGCGAAGATAAATGACCTTAAACTGTGATAACTACGTTAGTACATCATGAATAAACAGCATGATAGAGCTGGGAGATACAAAATACACACGTGCACAAATACGTATATAGAATAATTGCGTTCTGCTTCGCAGATGAATATGGAAAAAAGTGTAGAAAATATTGCGCGCATGCAAGATTTGCACGGAGATAAATTCCGAAGTTATATCGCTGACTACACATTTTTAATTCGTTAGCGTGCATGTGATATGTCAGACGATTAGGTTTGATGTTACATTTAAATCCGTTTCCAGAGATTCGTTCTTCTATGCGCGCATATATTCCGCGAAATAAATTTAATTTATCGAGTCGTATACGTTTTATCACACGTTGTAATGAGAAGCATGACGAAATATCCGAACTGTCGCGATAAATATTAATATACATATCTTGCATAATATTAATCTGTAGGTAATGTGGTATATTTAGATTTTATTGCACGTGTTTTGTATTATTTTCAGAAATTTGTCGATTTCTTATCGATTGCGCTCGTTGCCCGCGTAGTTGCGAAATACCCTGGACTATGTAATTGTAGTACCAACTCTATCCGATATCTCTATGCCCGTGATTCGTTTCGGGGTACTCAAAAAAAGGTTGAACCACGGTGCATACGTTCCGAGAGGGAAATTAATCTCGAACGATAATTCAAAGCCACGTTATCGGGAAACCTAATGTCAATTGCAAAGTTAATCGATACCCTCTCTCTCTCTCGCTTGCTCTCGTTCATCGTAGAGATACGAATGGGGCTGGCAGGTCGTTGTTCCTAGTCAAGATCATGAGATCCCTATTCCGGACATTTCGCAATGCTGGCTTAATGCCTGACCTCCGCTTCCAATTCCGGCGAATGCAATTCTTCAGAATTCGACGTGCCGTACTCATCACTCAATCACGCATTGACTACGTGAACAAACGTTATCAGACGTACGAGTGACACGTACCATATCCAAGCCATATCGATTTCCCATTGTCCTCTATAGGCATTCAACGTGCGTACACATTTGCCACGCTACGAGAACTGGAGAAAAATATCACGTTAAGAATTCGCGTACGCTGGCTTTCGACCAAAAGAAATTTCAATGCGGAATCTTAACGACGGAATACGTCGTCTATTAAAATTTAATGTTTATTCCAACGCTACAGAGGAAAAAATAGTATACGCGTATTACGAGTTGGATGACAATCGACGATGCAAATGTCAGAAAAAACCAGTTTTTTCGAGCATACCGTTTGGTCGGTATTCGAGCGACACATTGGTCGCCCCATCTCTCGGTTGGTCCTAAGTTCTGTTACCTTCATCGTGTATACAGAAGCGTGTGCAAGCGTGTGCGTAGAATTTGTATGACCGTGTAGAGAAAGAGACGCGACGTTCGTGGTCAGTTCGGAGTCGCTTATGCGTCTTATCTCTCGACTGATGATAACGTCGAGGATTTAGGTTGCCCAAAAAAGATTGCGAAATGAAAATATCACCACGGTTATTCGTTTAGTGTACGCGTATCACATCCAGTCTTCGAACGTTACCATCGAAGACACGGTCCTTTGGAGGAATTGATAAAACGCATGCGCGTGTTGTGTCACCGGTGTCCAGTTCAGTGTTAATCGTTATTCCTGCGTTGTTCGGTGTTAAATGTGTCATTTGCGAATGTAACAGTTGCAGGATTACGAGACGCAAGAAAACGAGCAGTGGAGCCTATAAAACAAGGTACATATTTCATTTATATATGTATTTATTTATGTACACTCGTGAAAACCTTCACGTGACAGAATCGGACGTGAGTATAAAATATGTAAATACGACTAATCGATTCATTGATTTGTTACGTCTGCGATACGTTTTGCAACGTATACAATAAGATTGTTAAATATTATTTAATTTATGTCGAGTGTGTCCCAAAATATTCACGTAATAGATAATCAATGAACACGTGCCCTGTGAACGAAACACGAACTCGATTGTGGTGATTTCTGACTTCGTGTATTAAAGTACTCCGTGAAAAGAATATTCACGTATAAATAGACACGTTTCGCGAGTGTGAAAATATAAGTGTACTTGTCGAGTGGTTGTAGTCTGTTTTCGGAAAAGGGTTAGTCGAGACATCTCTGGTTCAGGCGCGAAAGCATTCCATGTATATACATTTTCAAGATTCACAGTGTTCCCTATCCCTTTTCGTCTGAATATTATATAAAAACTTTGACGATACAATTACATTGAGTACCCAACCCGCGTAGAATTAGCCATTGAATCTATAATACATCCGACGGGTAAAGTACGTTTCCAAAACTTGTTGTGAGGTTAGGACAGTGGAAAAAAACGAAACTTTCATTCGTTGGATTTCTAATGTTGAACATAACGGGTTTCGAGTGAGGTGAAGTATGCCGACACATCGGCGAGCTTCGGGTTAACTACAGCCTGTCGTTTTGACAAACACAGGATTTCTATCGAAGTATAGAGGGAACTCGTACGAATGACAAAGGAGTATGACAACAACGCTCGTGTACGTGCTGTACCATTTGAGAAAGACAAAGGAGGGAGGGAAGCATAACACCCTAAGAAGACTCGCGTTGGTAGACTAATGCGACGCAGAAAGAAGGAGAGTGTGCGTCAGTAGGTTTTACCCTGACCTTGCATAGACATATACGATTTAATTTAACCGGGTCCGAGTAAACTCGCGGTTCAATCTATCTTTGTCCAGTGCCTCGTTCAAATCCACGCTCGTGATTTAACCTCAATCTTTTACGCGGAAGGAAGGACGCACATCTTTCCGGTACGTAACGCGTGTTTTCAGTTTCTGTAAACAAAATTCTAAACATAGCGACACGACCAACTGAATTCTCCATCGAAATCGCCTCGTAATGTAAAAAAGTTGTTGCGTGGGCGAAACCGTAAACCTCTTACGAGAAGTGAACGTCTCGTGTATTTCTAGTTGTATTTGTAACAGCAATGAAATTATTTGACAGTATACAAGTTGTAAAACAACGAGATGAATGATATTAGGTCAAGGATTAACTCTGTCCTGATAACGTTGTTCTCTTGGTAACAGTTTCAGAAAACTTTTTACGGAAATGAGAGATTTGCTTTATCGCATATAAAAAAAAAAAAAGAAAAAAAAACGTATATAGAAATAAATTCACGAGTCCGAAATTTTTTTCTTCGATGAGATTTTGTCACGGGTCACGTAACCGTGTCAATTTAACGAGATAACGATCGAAAGTTTACGTTTATATTTGCAGCAGTTTTGCTTATCATTGACTTTTAGACTCTGGCGTACGTGCTAAAAGATGTCTGTAAAACATACAGAATATCGATACACCAATAATTCATGAACCATTATTACTTTCGAAGTATATTAGCACAACGAAATTGACGTTACCGCAAGACTTTTCCTTAAAGAAATGTACCAAATTTTCAATATAAGAAAAACCAATAAAATTCCCAACTATCGCGTACACGTGTCGTATTGGGATTTACATAATCGCGGTATCATACCATGGAATCGAAGCATAGCGGAGAATTGTTTACGAACTGCAGTTTCGTTTTTAATATCGCGCCACGGGGAACGTTTGAGGCATTAACGACCCAGACGTATAAAGAACTCGATAAAAAAAAAAAGAAAAAGAAAAGAAAAGAAAAAAAAACAGATCTTGAAACGAAGCCATAGATAAACTGTAGGTGGGGATGAAGGAGATCGGTGAAAAAGGGCGATGGGAGGAGAAAAGAACCGAGTCGCTTCGTCTATAACGAAAGCAGTCGGATTTCGCGTAAATTCCACTTCAAAGCGTTCCTCGACACCGATGTTTGAAATCTCGTGCGTGAAAAGTAGGGGGGACGCGTATAAAGACGATATTTGCAAAAAGTATGAATGTCTCGCCCGGAGTCTGAATGCAAATGACTCGATCCCCAGCACGCGTCGTTGGCATCGCGTCAGTATGAGAGAAGGAGGGAAGTTCCTGGCTCGAATGGAATTCAAAAACGGAAAGATTTGTGGCGCCAAAGGCGAGCCGACGGGAGAAATACAAGGAGGAATCGAAAGGGGAAAATATGGTTCCCCCTTCAGCAAGGGGCCTTTGGGGGATAGTAATGGTCCAGGCCAAAGGCAAACTATACGCGGAAAGCTGATGGGGCAGCGAAGCGTGCAACGCGTTGCGTTTTGCCGGAAACCCTTCCGTTTCGGTTTCGTCTCTGAAGTTGACTACTGCCCAGAGGCGTCGCCATTGCTTCTTTGTGTACGACCCCCGTTTGCCCGGCACAAAAACTTCCTTCAATGTTATTCAACGCCTTAATGAACACGATTGTGCTCGGAATTTAATACGTACAAATTACTCCTATTAGGCACGCGTGTTCGATCAGTCGACCGACGGTAGTAGATAGATGGAAGCACGCGTCCGTAGCATCGCAGTCGTACCGCAGGTATTATGATTTTGGAATTGAAGTACGGCTCAAGTACTGGATTCACTTGTCCGATGCTCTCCAAGCAGGGAATAGATTACCAGAGACGTTGTATTCTGTACTTACTCGTGCTGTTGACCACTACATTTGCATTTCTGCTCTTTCATTTTCGCATGTTTTATAACGTGTAATAATTTTCCGTAGCAAATAGTAGTAGTTCGATCCTTTTCTCGGCATTTCATTGTTTGCCGATTAATCACTTACTGATGGAACAATGACGCGACAGTTACAGTCGCGTCTCAAGCATCGGGGGGTATGGATTACCAACGAATTTAACGATAAAATAATCCGTGGAATGAAAGGAAGTTTTTTAAACGCCGTTTCTTTTTAAATAGTACCTGAAAGCAGCAGGAAGTAGCTCCTGAAGAGTGCTTTACAGAAACGATTAACGTTTCTGGCTCAACGATCTGTGGCGCCGCGCATTGTTGCACGGGATTACCGACCGCCAATTGCAAAGTCCGCTCCTAACTGACAATTGCTCCACTTGCTTTAAACCATTAGTACTCGCCAGTTATCTTGCTGGCAATGTACTGCAATGTGCATCGTCGTCGTAACGGACCGAGGTAAATCTCGACGACGGCATTTTTCCCCTCCTTTTCTCTGTAGGATTCGTTCGCAAATTGTATACTGCATGTCGTGAGAAAAAGGAAAAGCGTGCGTTCCACGACGAAGTAGTATTCGTTGGCCTGGGTCACATTGATGGCGGTGCTAATGTTCTTACTCGAACGTTCAACGAGAACTGAAAATTAACGATACAAAAAAAAGTATTCCCAAAGCGTCTACTTTTCTCTTCTGATTTTTTTTTTTTTTTTTTTTTTTTTTTTACCGAGAGTTCTGTAATTATAGAGGGCGTTTTTCGAGAAACTTTTGTTTCAACTTTTCGGTTATACAGGTGTAGTAATTATTCATAGTCATGTTTTTAAAGCGAAGATTAATAGCGATTGTGGACCTTGTAATATTTAATCTTTCAGTTAAAATTGAAATTTGTTTTTCGATGCATGTAGTTCTGTTGTATTTGCATCCTTGAATTTTTTTAATTCCAGACACCGCATGCCTGACAAGATGGCAGGGCTACTTCTGCTGATAGTCGCACTTGCGACATCAACGATCGCTTATAACGGCGAATTGGTGGAGCAGGAATGTCCCGTGGACTGTCACTGTCATTATTTTCGCGTCAACTGGGTGACCGACTGCTCCGAAAGCAATTTGACGAGCATCCCTTACGACGAGCTCAGCCTTAATGTCTACATCCTGGATATGAATGGTAACAACATCGCACAGGTTGGCCCGTTTCCGCAATCGATCAAGATAAGGCGTCTGCAGATGGCGCATAATAGATTGACCGAGCTCAAGCACGAATCGTTCGCTGGTCTAACTTATCTGCTGGAGGCGGACTTTTCATCGAACGCGATCACTCGCGTCGACCCCGAGGCGTTTAGGTAAGAAACTTTTAGATTTACGTGCGATTCGTTCTAATCGATGCACGGTGTAACGAATTCGATCCTCCAACAGTGACAATCCAGGTCTCATCACGCTGGAGCTTCAAAACAACCCCTTGGACGAGGTCGCCGGTCACTTCCTCAACTGTCGCACCCTGCTCTACCTAGATCTGAACACGTGCGGCATCAGACGTCTCAACACAGAATTCTTCCATAACACGACGAACCTAAACAAGCTCGATTTGTCCAACAATCCCCTTGGAAGCATAGAACCAGGTCCATTCGACCACCTCACCAATCTGGAGTACCTGAAACTGAACTCCTGCAACTTAACGAGCATCTCACCTGACGCATTCGCTCACCTGGAGAATCTTCGCGAGCTAGAGATGGCGGATAATGATCTGCACGCGCTGTCCTGGACGAGCGTCCTGGCGCCGTTGGTCCGACTAGAGCACTTGGATATCAGGAAGACTGGCATCACGAACCTCCCATCGGACGCTTTCGCGAAAAATCTGTACCTCAGACAGCTGGTGCTCGCAGATAACGAGCTGTGGCATTTGGACGTTGGGAACACCCTTGGTCATAATTTGCACAGCCTCCAGTCGTTGGACTTGTCGAACTGCAACTTGCAGGATCGTCTGTCTGAGGAGGCATTCAGGAACGCTAGTAAACTTCGCGTGCTGGACCTCAGTGGCAATCCGATGTATGCTGCTGACCTAACAGGCGTGCTGCGCCATCTACCTAAACTCCACAAGTTATCCTTGAGTAACTGCAGTCTACAGCGTTTGCCAAACGCGTTCCACGTTTTCGAGCACCTGGACGAGCTGGACATCTCGCACAACCCCCTGTCGGATGCGTTCGTCAGTCTCCTGAATCCCTTGGACTCTCTGGAGTATTTGGACATGTCCTACTGTAACCTGGGTTACGTTGGGAACAACACGTTTGCCCACATGACTTCCTTGAAAAAATTAATATTGTCGGGAAATAAGCTACATACCTTGGAAGAAGGCTTGTTCGCCAATTTGACCCACCTGGAAGCTCTGGAGTTGAACAACTGCGACCTCAAGACCCCCATCGACCCTAAGGTGTTTGGTGATCACAAGAGCACCAATATCATCGAGCTGAAGCTCAGCGGAAATCCACTCAAAGTCCCCGAAAGCGGGCCTCTTCTTCCCGAACAGTTGTCCAACCTCGAGATACTCGACCTCAGCAACTGCAATTTGTCCCATTTGAACGAGAATCTGTTCATCTCCGCAAAGAACCTCACGCAGCTGAATCTAGCTGGCAATAACATTTCTGGCGCGGAGAATCTAGCCTGTCTGAAGAAGCTTCGCAGTTTGGAGCATTTAGATCTCAGCAACAACAACCTACGAACTGTCAGCCCCAAGGTGTTCAAATCGAATCCACGTCTGTTGTCCGTAAATCTTCTCGGCAATCCTTTCGTCTGCAATTGCTCGATCACGGACATGTGGGACTGGGCGGTGCAGGTGAAGAACGATCTTCACGTGTTGGTGGCCAGTCAGCCAGCCAGCTTCGAAACCGGAGCCGCGAAACTGAGAAAGAGTTTGATCTGTAGCTACGACGACGAGACCTATCGCAACATCGTGGAACAGACAGCCAGCAGCGGCGATCAGCGCAGACTTAGAAAGGGAGACCTGACTCCCATTCGTACCTGGGCAAAGTACGTTCGCGAGTCGAGTTGCGGTCATACTTTATGATATACGTTGTACAAGTTTCAACATCCCTTGCTGTACATCTATCAGAACGAGATACGTAAACACCGAGTCGAGCTTTAACCGTATCTTGTCAACGATGCGCAGACACGACGTTCTCGCTGCATTATTCGCAATTTATTAACCCTCTACTGCACGATTCATTCAGAACAATCCCACTGAAGGGCCCTGAGGCAATTTCGCAAGGATTTGCCTGTTTCCTTATAGCTCCGATAGGTTCAGTCCTTTATTGTTTAGTCATAGTGTAAATATATATACGATTCATGCAATAGAGGGTTATCATCGCCGGGAATCCAAGATTATCCTTCATTTCCATCGCGTACGACTTTATTTTTGTAGGCGTAGGATTAAGGTGTATCGGTAGTACCTGCGCACGAGACGTCATGATGTTGAAACTTGTTGCATGGGAAAAACCCACTGCTCGAAGCATACCGCTACATTTGTTCCTCCAAGTATAAGGTCTACGAGCGCGTTGTATGTAAGTCAAGGTATTACGACATCGTTATACGTTGCTACGAAACGTGGAATCAAACGACCATTTTTATTCGGGATCATCGACCCCCTTTCTGCGTCACCAAAGGAATATCTTCCAAGTGTCATTATAGAAGCGTTCCATTTCATTCAAGGACAACAGTCCATCTACCGTTCGATAAACGCGCTGGACGTCATGAATAGTGTGAAATTTTCATTTAACGGCTCGCAAATATGATTTATCCTAGTCTTTGTAATCAACTAGTCGTTGCCTGTGTCTGGCGTTTCGTTGAGTCCTCGTTTTTTCCCACATCAACGCGGGAATTAACGATTCAAAGCAAGGTCAAGACCCTTTGCTCCGACAGTCGTCTATTTCTAACGAACCTCTTACTTCGAGAGGTGCTTGAAATTGAATCGAGTCTGGAAACTCGTGATTCGAATCAAGGCAAGTTTCTGGTTTGTTGTGCGACATAATTAATTATTTTTAAGAATGTTTTTGGGAACAACGTTGTTTCGGAAAATTAAAGTTTAACGCTACGATTTAACAATATTGGAACTGTAGCTGTAGTTACAATTAAACTAAACGTATAGGTATTATAAATGGCTGTAAAAAAGAGTAGATGGTAATTTGAAATCTAAAGTTTTAGAAAATGTAATTGGTGGAAAGGTGAAACAAACCAGAACTCTGCCTGAAAAGATGGCGTGACGGCGTCTATCGAGTCAACAGCGTTACTTTGGAAACTCTTGAATCCATGACGAAGTTATGAAGTTCACAAAAGTCGAACCTCCATCATACTGAACGTAAATTCCAGGCTAAATGACAGAGTCCGTGGCTCGTGAAAACATGCCATGATTTCAATTACAAAGTTCTTGCATGCCCGTCTATGCATGCATCTCTTATCGTGTCGTGTTATACACGAGTGTGTATTACGTAAAGTTATGGATGTCGCCAGGTATGTGTATACTTTACACTGGAAACTCAATTGTTAAAATTATTAACCTCCGTTTGGTAAAGTCCAAGTGATTGCGACGTTCTTGTAAAGCGTTGTATTTAAATCGTTGTAGACGTTTAATTTATAGTTTATTGGAAGGGTCTTGCATTAATTGTTAACCTAATTAGGTTTGTCAGCCTTTGTTGAGTAAGAAGTACTTCGCTCTATAAGAGGAGAACGTGTACCCTATGAGTTGCGGATTCATCGTTTATTCGTTGCTCTTTATGCGTATTTGTTAAGTCCCATCGTTTGATATTACGCCTAGCGCTAATGGTTAGTTTGCTAGTTAACGATGCACGCCAAGAAATCCTTGTCTCCTCCTATGCTTATTCTCTCTGTGCGGATGTATACTTATGGTTCTTTTTTTTTTTTTTTTTTTTTTTTGTATGAAGTGCTGTCTCTTTTTAACCAGAACGTGTTCTCTAGCAGTGCCCATGTATAAGTAGACTACCTATGAGATACTTGGATTCCCATTCTTGCAATCACTTGAACAATGCAGCGAAAATTTGATTCTAGTTTACACGCCAAACTTTTCGCCAAAGGAACTCGTGGTTAGAATTTGTACTAAAGATTTTAGCTGCTCAAGCTCATTTGTATGTCTCTCTCTCTCTTATACTATATGTATATTTATATGTGCCTGAAACCGTGTCGCAAGTAATCATTAGGTACTTTTGACGTTCTTTTTACTGCCATTAGTCTCTATTCACTATATCGAGGCAGCAAAGACGAAGGGATGTAACGAAATGGTTGTTAAGAGTTGTAAGGTGGCCTTGAGCGGTGAAAATCTTTGGCCTCGTGTGTACGCTACGAGAACGACGATTCGTATACATCTACGTCTGTTACGTTGATCCCTGTGAAACGGATACGTGAATCAGATTTTCAGTCGCTGTCGCTTGAAATAGCGCGGGCAATATCAGGTGCCGGTACGGTTTCATTATATTCATGAAATGTATAAGACTGTTTAATAAAGGAGTCATTTTTCTTGGTACAACTGTGGTTTTTTTTATCTCTCCTTCGATTATCACTTGATAATCACTTGATAACAAAAAATTAATAAAGAATAAAAATGATATTTATCTATGTCCTCTCGTATCGCGAAGTTATCGATCCTACACGCAACTGAACAAAGAATTGGAACAATGGCGCATCACTGATATACGAATAAAGAGTACTGCATTGTTCCTCGCCATGTCTATCGCACTATACACATAATCGAATCACTACAATAATTGTTGCATCACTCGTCTCACGTTGATCAACATTGTGAGTACAATCAGTATTCTTGGAATAGACTTCAGCATCTCAACGTTTGGGCGGGAAAGAAGTGAGCGCCGGGAAACTAAATTAACGGAACATCAAGTTCCGACAATTGTACAATAGCAATGCACGTATTGTAGAATTATACTGGATTCAGACGATAATTGTATAGATGTATCAACGTTGGTAACACGCAATTGAAGGAAGGATTAACGTTGGTTGGTGCTTGTGCGACAACTTGTTTATTTCATTTATTTAGGATTTTCTAAAAGATTTCAATTTGCGTACAGATATTTTTCGTATAACGTTAGTATATGTATTTGCATCTAGTTGCCTCAGTTCGACGGTGATCTTCGCCACAGTATCAACCGCAAATGTATCTGGGTGTTTATATGTCTGGAGTGAAGAAATACGAGACATGGGGATACGGGATACATGGGATCTCTTCTAGTATGAAGCAATTATCTTTTGCTCGAGCACCATTGTCGAGTAAGAAACGTATAAAGAGTTTCAGTTAACATATGCGAAACTATTTGACCATCCGAGTAAGCGAGTGAGTTTTATTTATAAAGATGCGGAATCATATACATATATGGTCGAAGTTTACGTCATTGCGGGTGTACTTTATCGGTAAAACAGAAACCGCCTAGTCTCGAAGCAAGACGTTCTCTCAATGATTAGACTCGATAACCGAAACAGTCGTTCGTTCGTCAGAAAGGATACCTTGCTCGAGTAAGAAACGTACATCGCAAATGAACGTATATTTGCGCATTGAAACATTCTAAACAATAACACGGTATCGCGATAGGTCGAAGGCTCGCAATCTCAGTTTTTATTTTGCGATGACCGCGTTTGCATTCCACGACACTGATGGATGAGGTCAAAACATGTGCAGTTGCATTATGAGTGCCGATATATAAAAGTTGATGTTACGTAACTCGCTACGCGGCCGTGGCCACGAACCGATATACATAAGTATTTTCAATTTTCAGTCGTTACGTATAAGAAGCGATAGAACCGATACCGATAGTATTTCCTAGCTACCTATCGCCAATACTAACGATAATGAACATCACGTTCATTTATCATTTAATGCCTGTTATTTTGTATCATTTTTGCAAATAGCATGCTCTGTATCAGCATACCGTATATCATTTCCTTGACATTCCTTTTGCAATAATTCCATGCCGTTTCCGTCTTCGATTTGTTGTATTCTTCGTGACCAAGCAATTTAATACCAAAGTACTTAACAGGAAGCATCGAGAGGTATCGAAACCTCGGGTACTTGGCGTCGATTGTTCGATACCCGATATTTTGTAACGAACACTCGATCGATACCAATACTGTACGCTGGTGAGTAGGAATCGATAGTCGATGTTATTGCTACGAAGCTATAAGGTTTTACAAAAACGACAGGAAACGAGAAGTAACGAAAATTTTCAAGTATTTCATACGATTAAGAAGATTAGAAAAAAAGATACGCGAGAAGCTGGAAATTTTGTTTGTCGGACATCCAGATAACACGCAGAGATAGGAAGATGCGTAACGGTTCCAATTAATTGCGATCTAATCTCCTACAGCCCGTACTATTTATCAGAGATTATACTATATCAATTAAAGCCTCTATCCAACTTGTCATCTATGTATCATGCACGGCCCTAGAGTAAATCGTAGGGCAAAGTGTTAACCGGTCAACGCTGTATTAGTACCCAGCCGTTGAAAATCCTACTCAACGGACAAGTAAATGATTCATCGAAAATTCCCAGGTCCGTTCGGATGTCGGTTAACGGAGCGATATCGACTATATCGATTCGATATCGTTCCCATCGCTACGTGCGAACTTTCGCCGACGAGAGCGCGTTCATAAGTGTGGGAGCGGATCCGCTCGTGCGCACATGAACGAATCTCGACTGTATCTATATGCCTGTATAAGCGTCGCGACTATCGGTGCCGGTCCGTCGGCTAGTAAGCTAGTTGGCCGTCCAATTATTTGAACGTCATGCGCGCGGACGCGCGAGTCACCACAAAAGCTTCGCGATCGGTTGTTGGGTACCGGCATTCGACGGGCAAGGATTGTCAACGGGTCCTGGTGATTAACCGGCGTTTACGTCGTAACAGTGTCTCGACAGTCGGACGTATCGATAGAGTACAATGATACTGAACGTGCTCGAGCCACTCCTCGACATCCCGACGGTCTACTACGGGGCGCTGATGGGCTTTGGATTCTGCGTGTATTACCTTTTCGAAGTCGTCAAAGTGAGTAACCACCGCTGAACTAGTATAGTTCTTTGGTTAACCACGACACTTTCTCCTCGCTCTCCAACCGTGCGTCGCTGTCGTCTTGTTTTACCGAAAATTCGCTGTTCGGACACGGATTCACTCGCGAACGTATCCAATGAGGAAGTGGAATGGGTGAATCAGCATTGAAATTAAACGTTGATTGAACGTGTTGACCGCGTGAACCGCGTTATTAGACGACGAAGACGATCGCGAATAGCTACAGGAGAATACATAGGAGAATAATTGCAGACGAATCGTGCGTTCGCCGACGGTAGACGTTAACCGCAACGGGGATTGATTGCATTAGGTGTTGGAATTAATTCTGTGTCTCTGTTTTCAATTGTTTATAACTCTGATTAGATTACGTCACTGGTACATTAGAGTACGAACCTTCCGAATCCTCAGTCTGATCTCCGTTACAATGTATCTGGACACGTTTACATGGATAACCTAAGTCACAACTTGATGGACATTGCGTGCAGTGTAATGTTTTGCTTATTGTTATTTTTCTACAATTTAATTATCAAGTGTGATTTGTCCGTTAGAATAATACCGATAAGCAAAACTGTAACGATCATCGGGTTAAAAATTCGGTTATATAATATATCTATAGATTCAATGTAATGGAGATCAGGTCAAGAACCATAGAGGTTGGTAATTTATCCTATAATAAGAAACTGACGTTTAAATATTTCTACTTAAACTAAACTGACAAATGATTGAACATGAAGCTACAGAATGAATTCCTACACCTGATAATACCGTGGGTAGGGTTATAGATTCCACAGATCGGTCGTAGTTCTTAGCTTGCTGGTAGCCGATATCGGTGAATAAATTGCCACGATAACGTTGGGCACGGTAAACTACCTCCAGCATCGTTCAAATTTTAAATTAAACCGCAGTGAGACCGTTATCGCTTATCCACGGATTTATAACCTTCATTATGCTCAATCAACGCCGCGTTTGGTTTGCAGTCACGCGTATATCGCGTCTGGCTTGATTCTATTGAAGATATCGTTTTAATAGTTAAGAAATCTCGCCCGGCAGACGTGCGAAACGTTCGATTCGTTTTCGAGACGGATGCAGGGTTATCGACACTTGGTCGAGACGTTAAACTCGGTGCATATTAATCTCCAGACGTTGTTTGATTTGCGGTCGAAGAAATAAGAAGTTTAATTGGTGGAGAATCGATTCAACAGTTCCCGTATTTGATACTCGTTGAACGTACATCGGCATTAATTGTCTCACTTTGTGTCGTGCCTTTTTCACTTGCGTTACATATCAATCCGTCCTCCATGCCGTAACCTTTTTAACGAGGCAAACAAAAAATATTGCCAAGAGCTATTGGAATGTCGAATAAGATAACTTCGTAGCCGAGGCTGACAGAATTCAAATAACGAATTGAGGATAAATGACTTTTTTCTTTGTTACTGGTAAAATGGAAATTAGAGTTTTTGTTGCATAATTAAATACTTCGCGATGTTCAAAGAAATGTCTCTTACGTGGCAACTTTCTGATGAATCTAAAACGCGTTCGATGGAAAGAAATTATTAATAAAACTCTTAACAGAGATAGTTCTTCGTTTAGGAAATTGCTAAATACTTGCGTTTGTATAGCTCACACTAACACTTAACAGTTTAATTACTATATTTTATTTTATCAACGGAATACTGATTACTGGACAAGAATTTACAATGACTTCGAATTTATCGAAACTCGTTTCGCTCGAAGGCTTTCACTGGCGAACTGACTCGAACTTCTCGCGTAATTCCAAAGTGCAACAAACATTTTACATATCGAGCGCTATTCAGAGATGCGTTACTATCGGATGTTATCAGGATTTCCGCGATACGAATTGTTCAAACTCTCGCACGACCCTTCGTGATCTGTGCGAGCCACGAGGTGACGCACAATTTATTAATTTGACCTTAAAACTCCATGGCACTCGCCCCGGACAAATTGCGCGCGCTTCAGTGCGTGTGCACTGAGACTCGAACCACACGCAAATGCCGGAACAGGTAACATCGTACGAACCGACTAGCCATTCGTCGCGAATAACGCAATGTTTGAATTGACCGATTCGTAGACGCTTGTAATTCGTCGAACGACAGATAAAAATCTCGCCGACTCATTCCAGAAATTCAAAAGAAACTTTTTATAAACGTCCCAAGAATAATAACAAAACACGAGCACGAGGAGGAAGGAAGCGTTTCGATTAACATGTTGACTGCCACGGTACTCTTTAAGATTCGGGTGTAAATGGCCAATAAAAAACTCTAATTATACTATATGTATAGTATCATCAAGAAGCATCTAGAATTGATCGAAGAAACAATACGGTTAATTGTATCACGCGACCCGTACTTATTCTCGTTTAATTGATTTAAAAATGCAATGCAATTCTTTATTAAAAGTTCTGCTAAAGTTTGAAGAATATTCCACAAAATAAGTAAACGGTCAGTAATATCGCTTGTATCTAGATGAAGGAGTTGAAAATTGGACAAACGATAAACCACGTTTTATCCATTAAAACTGTATTTCGCGTGGAACGAATAAAAGGTTATCTGAATAGCTGTTCAATGGAATAAGCCTTGAGAGTAAATCGCTATACGGTGTTTTCATTCGTTATCTATTATTTCAGTGATTCTCAACCATTTCTAAACGCATTTCAGACGCCGATGCTGGTATGCGCGAATGGACCATTCCGATCATTCCTAGAAGAACATGTGCCGCTCGTTAGGAACAAATTTTGGCCGACCTTATGGTGCTTCGAATCAAGAGCACAGACTATTTTAGCCAGTTTGCTTAGGTCACGGATATTGCCACAAATTCATTATCGCAGGTTGGTAAGTTTACCTTTATCATCGCACCTGTCCTTGATGCAATTTCAATAAATTCATAAATATATTCTACGAAATATTTCAAACTCCGCGAAAGAATATTCTAGATTCTAGTAATGTTCCATGGAATACGAAATGACATATCTCATGTATCGTACTACCACTTCTCACGTTACAAGATGTTGGGTCGAAATAAACGATTGCAAGCTAATTATCGCACCTCCGTGTGCAACACTTATTCTAATTAATTCATTGTCGAGCAGAGAAATCCTAACCTTGTCGGATGGAGGTGAAGTGGCTCTAGATTGGGCGGAAGAAGGAAGCTCTACTACTTCGCCCATCGTGATTATTTTACCAGGACTTACCGGTGCAAGCCAAGCGGAATACATCAAGTGTCTGGTCTCCTCAGCGAAAAAGGTCGGCATACGATGCGTCATCTTCAACAACAGAGGATTAGGAGGCGTGGAATTGAAGGTATGTTCTTTGAAGGATCTCTCTAATCCGTAGGGGAGAAGAACGTGTCGTTCCTTTCATTCCTTCATGCACACGGTTTTCCATACACACCACTTTCACACAATTTATATTTCATTTATGACATCAACAGTGTTTTCCTGTAAACTGGCAATGAACGTATTCTGCGATGTCTCTACAGTTGTAGTACCCGTGGCGCCACCGACGATAAAACACCCAAGTTTGTAGTTCAAATAGTTCTATACGTTGCTGCTAGATGCCGAATGGTTTAATATCGGTGGCGCCAAGTATTTGACATGAAATCAAGTTTAATAATTTAAATTACACTTTTAAATCTATTTTTGTGATATCGTTACATGTACAAAGAAATAGGCAAAGAAATGTAACGATTGATTACGTGATTGCAGACACAACGGATGTATTGTGCTGCGAACAGCGATGATTTGTCCGAGGTCATCGAACACGTAAAAAAACTGAATCCCCAAGTACCGCTTGGAGCGACTGGAATTTCGATGGGAGGGTAGGAAAGAACTATCTTATTCCTACAAACTATTACTGAATCAAAATCAATTGATTGGTTAAGACCACCGAGGTTTAGATCTCTTGATCTTCACCATAGTGTTCGGCTACCCCTACTACTTTACTATAACGTGATAATACTTCTTATTTTACGTTTACTTGCAGATTAATTCTAGGTAATTATTTAGCTCAACAAGGTGTAATGGCAAGCAGCAAACTGAGAGGATGCTTCTTGATCTCTGTACCGTGGAACGTTTTCGCCGCGACGAAAAATACGGAGGAGAATTATTTTAATTTAATGATGAACAAATATTTGGCTGGCACTCTTCGAAAGAACATAGAACGTTTGCATTATGCGACCGAACCAGGATTCTTCGACATCGATATTGACACGATTCTTAAAGTAAGCTTAACAGAGCCAATCTGTTTTTACTGTAACTCTAAAGCAGATGATTTAGCAGAAAAAGATAAAAATGATTCCTTATTTGTTAGAGTCAAACCGTGCGAGAGTTTGATTCGCATTTCACGGTGAAACAATTTGGGTATAGAGACGTGGAGGAGTACTATTCTAATGCGACCTTACACGATAAATTACACTTAATTGATGTGCCGTTGTTATGCCTTAGCGCTGCTGATGACCCATTTCAACCAGTTCAAGGTAATGGCTCTGCCATCTTTTGAAATTAAATTATTTAAGTCATTTTTTTTTTTTTGTAAAACTAATTCGTTATTTGTATTGGTGATCAGCTATTCCTCTGAAAGAAATTTCGGAAACCAAAAAGGTAGCTGTTGTGGTAACTTCGCGTGGCGGGCATATTGGTTTCTTGGAAGGCGTGTGGCCAGTTAAAGAGGAACAATATATGGGTAAACTGTTTTCACAATTTTTCAACGCGCTATTTACTACTGATGTTGATCATCAGATGTTATGACGAACTTACAACTTAAATTTCAAATCCATCTTTAATTATCGATATCATTGTCTTCTCTACGTTTGACCATTACGCGCGAATGATCACGTGCCATGATTAATATTATTCAGGGTACTGCACATGTGATGTTAGTAGTGGTAAGAATTACAGAACCTTCGTCGCTTTTATAAAAAAGATTTTTATCAGCGGCTTATGAAGTATTAGTTACTATTTAGAAATAATTTTTTGCAAAAATGTAAACCGTATAGGAACAAAATGCGCATATTCACTTGCGGGTTTATACAATAGCGAGGTTATATTTATTTTTAACGCTATCAGCATTTATTGAAGAACTTTGCAATTAATGTTTATTTGAATTGCAAGAAACAAAATTTGACTTTAAAATACTTATAGAATTATATGTTTATGAACTATGTTCGTGCGAACAATTTATTAATTGATTGTAAAATTTTTTGTTATAATATTGATAAAAAATATCAAACTATTTATACAGCATTATGTAATCTCAAACAAAAAGCAGTATATAAAACCATCCGTGAGAGCGAAATATCATTGATTGTGATACAGAAAGTGAAAACACACATTCTATTACATCTTACATATAATTTTTTTAAGACAGTGTAAAGACAAAAGTTGACAAGGCGAATATCCTCATCGTATTATATCATATTTTTTATTTCTTTGATCTTAAAAATATGTAAGACGCCAAATACCAATGTCATACTTTAATAATGAAATGTATACTTGTTATTTAGTATTTAATAAAAAAATTCATACATTAACTTTATTTGTTATTAAGATCGATATCATTATTTATTCTAGCAAAGCTGAAAAGAATAATATAGATCGAAAAATGTCTTTCTTTTTGTCATATCCCAAAGAAGGTATGAACACTACTTAATTGAATGATTTTTTTATTTGCTACGATAGAAATTTTGTTTTATAAAATAATTTGGAAAAAAGCATATTAGAATATATTTTGAAATAGTATTTCGCATAATATTCTTGAATGGTTCAAAGATTTACGCATACGTATAAAATGTAAAAAATGTTAATATTACCCACGGTAAGTGTTATAATTTGAATTCTACGTCCAAAGATTTCACGATAAATGCTAAAATATCTGTGCTTTCTTCAATCTGAAACAATTAGAATTTTATAGTAAACGATATTAATAATAAAAATGGTAATTATATATGTGTAATACATTCAACGAATAAATGATTAAACACACCACTTTCATAGTTGGTTTCCCACCCCCATGTCCCGCCTTAGTATCTATTCTGATGAGTAAGGGATTTGTTTGTTGAGGTAATTTTCCAAGTGTATGCTGTAGAGTTGCAATAAGTTTAAGGCTATGCAATGGTACTACACGATCGTCGTGATCTGCAGTCAATAATAATGTCGCTGGATATTGCCCATTTTCCGGAACTCTTACGTTATGCAATGGAGAATATTTCAAAAGATTTTCAAAATGTTTCTGGTCATCAGAACTACCGTAATCGGATACCCAAGCAACACCAATCGTGAATTTATGAAAACGTAACATATCCATCACTCTGCATAACATTTGTAATATATATATATATCTATATTAACAATTGTATAAAAACTTTATAAAACTATGAATCCACTATTTTGTCTTACCCAACTTGAGCAACTGCAGCACCAAAAAGATCAGGTCTTTGATTTATACAAGCGGCAATTAATAGACCTCCATTACTGGCACCCAAGATACTTAATTTTTTAGATGTAGTGTATTTATTTTCAATAAGGTACTCAGCGGCACATTGGAAGTCGTCAAATACATTTTGTTTATTAAAAAATCGCCCACCGTTATGCCACTTTTCGCCGTACTCACTAAAATAAATAGTAACAGTCCGCGTATAAACAGGAACGTACATCTAGTACAATAATGGAGTGTTTTCTTAGCTTACCCGCCACCTCGAATATTTGCGACCGCTAGTACTCCATTTAAATGCTGAACAAAAACCAGAGTTGTAACGCCAAATGTAGGTTGAATGCTTACATTAAAACCTCCATAACCATATAGTAAAGCCGGCATAGAGCTATCCAAAACTGCATCCTACATTAAATATTAATTATTATTGTACTTCAAGCATAGTAATAGTACCATAAATACTTACATGTTTCATAACTATAAACATTGGAATCTTTGTACCATCTTTACTCGTGTAAAATATTTGACTAGTCTTGTATAAGCTTGGATCAAAGTTTTTTACTTTAATCTCTCGTAATATCTGTAAATTATACAATCTTTTAATTTTCAAATTTTTGTAGGTTATGATTTTTTATATGAACCATACATCGCTAACCTGTGGATCTTCTTCATTTTTAAGATCAACTCTGTATATAATACCAGGAGTTAAAAAGGATGTGAATTGGTAAAATATTTCGGAATATTTCTTTTTTCCTACAAAGTTAACTATTGTGCCTACATCAAGCGGAAATGTTCTAATTTTCTCACCAGTTTTTAAACTATGTAATTGTAAAATGCTCTGAAAAAGAGAATTTTTTCATCATTTCAACAGGCATACTTCAGTACAACCTATATTTGTACCTTACCTTAACATCTTCAATGTAGCAGGCTACAAATTGATCATTGTTAACTGCACAAGCCCAATCTAATACATTATCAGCATGTTCAGGTAACAGGTCTACCCACTTATCTTGACTGTAATCCAATAAGTCTATAACTATTAACTTATAGTTTGGCGCATTTTTATTTGTCCGAAATATAGCCTTGCTGTCCTCATTTGTTACATACTATTTAAAACAAAGTAAGCAATAAAAGTTAGTAAGAAAATCAAAAATATGGAAAGAAATTTATATTATATATTACTAACTTCATAATCTGCTTCAAGTTTATCAACAACTTGAGTTAACTGCAATTTTTCATTTAAATTTGTTCCTGGTTTCAATTCCGTAAAGTATACTAAATTATCTCTGCAGTCCTTCACAGGTGTGATAATTAGCCATTTCCCACAATCAGAAACTTGTGCACCTCTAATAATACCAAAGCATACATATTAAAAATAAAAACATACATGAATAAATTGCATTAAATCAATGTTCGTGTGAAATATTCAGTATATAGCTATGGAAATCTATGAGTCAACCAATTTTGTCTAAACACATACATAATTATCTTACGCACATTCTCCATAAAGGTTCTTCAGGAAATTCAACTACAACAGCATCCTCCGACTGCAATGTACCAATAACATGATAGCATAACTTTTGGTCTCGATTACCTTTTGTCTCTGAACCATCAGTTTTACCTTCCTGCTCTGGATAACATCCATAAAATATTCCGCGATTGTCATGAGTCCATGTTATTGGGGAATACTTAACTTTTTCCAAAATTTCTGGATATTTTTCACCTAAATTCAAACATCATACAAAGAATGAATTAATTGTGTTGGTTATATAGAAGAATATCTTAGGTAAACTACATTGATCATACCAGTCTTTGTATTCATAAAATGGATTGTACACCAATCTGATCCACTAGAAGATAATCCATATGCAAATATACTGCCATCTTCGCTAAATTTACTAATAGCAATTGCCACAGTGCCATCTTCTGATAAAGTATTTGGATCAAAAAATACTTTTGGTTCGCTGTCTAATGTATCTTGGACATATAAGACGCTAAAAAAATTAATATCCATGAATATATATTACATATTACAATTGATTTATATGTATAAATATTGTACCTTTGATTCTGTAAACCAGTATTTTTATAAAAATAATATTTATCTCCGTGTCTAACAGGACACGAATATTTTGGAAAATCCCATAATTGTTTTAATCGATCATGAATATTTGGGCGTGCTTTACATGACATCAAATATGGCTTAGTAATGGCATTTTGAGCATCAACAAATGCTTTAGTTTCTTCAGAATCAGGATCTTCTAACCATCTATATGGATCTGCTACCTGATGAACAGAAATGTACAATTGTATAATTTATATTCGTAGTTCAACGTATATGCAATTGTGTATATTTCAATAAATAATTCCTATACTTTACATAAATAGCTTTTTAGAAATAAAACACCTATACAGTCGATGATATTCTTAATTAACACGTAAAATAATAATATTAAAAACTCATTTAAATATGGATTTAATACCAAAAATTCTTTTTTTTATTCTAACCTCAGTTCCATGGTAATTATCGATAACGGTGAGATCACGATGTGCTTCGGGATATTCCATGATTTCCATTATTTTTCGATTCTCTTTGGGTTCTATTGCCGAACGATCTAAGTTCTAAACGTCCGACAAAACCATGTGATTAGATTTACTGCAGTAATATTAATACAAAATTTTGTTGGAAAAAATCTTACTTTGATGGTCGAAAAAGACAATGCGCGGATAAATTGCGGGCGGTTGCGGACAGTGAGTTCCAATATATTCTTGTAGACACTAGTTTCGATTTTATGTAAACAAATTCTCTTTATCGTATTTGCAATCACGGATACAGCCATAAAACGCATTACTCGCGTAGCATATGCTCATTATCCAGACACAGCAATCTAAAATAACTGTTTAGATCAGAGAATTTCGGAACTGTAGCCTATATACATCAAAATCTAACATTTTCATTATTAATAGATAACTTTTAAATCTCTTCTAGGAAATAGCAAATTTGTTTTCGCTTTTTGTTGTTTACATAAAATATATCGATTCACTAATCTATGCTAGAAAAACATTGATAACTCAGCATAGTTGCTTTCAAATTAGTTTGTGGTTGCATAGAGTACACAACTAAATTATTGGCGACACATTGCTGAATTTTCGATAATTTTAATATGTATCGTTGAAATTTGTATTTGTATATCGGTCTGGATGTTTATTCCGCCATATCATGTAAACGACTCGACGTAATCGAAAAAATTGTGTACACGTGCAGACATACATGTTTACTTTACATACTTATATTTAAACCAATATAAAAAATTATTTTAATCCACCTAATTATGGAAACGTATATCTCGATGAGCATGTGTATGCATATGAATGTCACAAGCCACAATCAAAGTTATTAAAGTATGCGATCAAGAATTATTACATATTGTAATCGAAGTTCACTTACATGACTGCAATTAAAGACAATTTGTGCTGTATAAGATAAAAGTCGAACAAGTCGATAAATAGAAAGTTGATAAATAGAAAAAGGAATTCTAAGAAAAGCGAAATAAGCTTCGATCAGCTGCATGCGCGATAAAAATTGCGACATTTGCGTTGGTATGGTTCGGAAATCATTTATCATAATTGTAACTACAAATTCAATAATAATGTTAATACACCACACGGAAGGGTATGAGATATAGTCTTATCAATTGGCCTTAATTACCCCTTCTCGTAGTATATGATGTTAACTGACACGTAAACGTGACTTTTCACGAGATTTGACTGAAAGCCATAGAAATCATCGAAATACAATATCGTATGCGATGCCAATACAAAATATGTTTAAAATAAACACTAGCTATAAGAATGTATTAAATTTAATGAATTGCATATAGAAAAAGTCACATTACATTTCACTTACTCGCTGTTTACTACTGTGGTATAAACCAAATATTTGTAAATTTAAACGTTATTTTCTTAGTTATAATTTACCCCCTTGTAAAAACAAAATAAAAATGTTTTTTTCATTTTACTGAAAAAGATGGCTGAAAGGTATGTAGTGTTATAATATATTTCACACTATCTTGCTTAATTTTGACAAAAATAAAATGCAAAGAATTATTTACATGATTAAGGTATCTACATACTGACAGTATTAAATTTAGTAAATCTTATTTTGCTTTAATCGTTATTTCTTTTTTCACTTTAAAAAGTTAAAATAATTTATCTAATGTGTATTTATACTGTTTGTGAGTTTCTGATTGGCCTGCAAACAGTTTTGCCATGCCAACCATGTTTCGAGAATATTGAGAATTGTATTTCACGATATAATTTAGGACATTAATTTTTATGTATCATATCGGTTAACTGATACAAATTGTTCACAGGACATCGTAATAATCGTAGTAATCTGTACATGAGACATATGTTTAGGGTTCGTGATTAACAGGTTGATTTACTAAATCAAATTCTAGTGGAGGAAAAGCGTATGTCTGTAGCAAATTTATGAGTAATTTTATCGTGTTCATCATCACACCTGCTGAGTTATTCATTTGTTACTTTATTCAGGACATTATGACTTTATTTGCAATCGTAAAATGTTTTTTGACAGGATGAATGGAAATATTTGTGGAGGGGCACGTTCGGTAATATTTACGAGCCTGAAAGAAACGCTGCGGGAGAGTAGGCGGATCACGCAGAGAGTTGCGTAGAGTGAAGATATCACGCGTCGGGTCAGCTGTACTTTGTGCTGCGAACTTAGATAACCTCTTGCATTTGTTCAAAGGCTCTCCCCTCTCCTTTCTTTGACCACACGGAGTTCATATAACATCAAAACCTGACGCTCAAGTATTCATTACGAATTCGCGAGTGCATCGATCGATTTTGACGTTCGTTCATAACCATAGACTATCCATCTTCAAGTGCTTCAACCGTACGAGGGAAAAGCTTTCGTGTCTGTTGGGAACCGTAACTGCGATCCACCAGCAAGAGGTCGTTGTTACTACGAGTCTATATCGTTTGTCGCGGTTAATTTGAATGTTTCTTTCCAAACTGTCAGCACACGGAGGAATGCAAAAGGACTGCCGAGACTGTTTAGGTATCCGATACCGTATTAACTCCCTGGATCAAACGTGGAAGTGGTTGCATCAAACCATCGCCCTTCACGATTACTTGATCTCCATAACCGCTAGTCAAACCAACGTCTCGAAAAAGACTTGTCACTAGGCCTGCTATCTACACACAAAGATATAAACCGAAGTCAAGGCTGATTTCGCCACTCACAGAGGTGTAGCGAGGACACCGTATAGACTATTAGTTGAAGACTGATTTCACAAGCAACCGCCGCATCGTTTTGACCAGGGAGTACGGTTTTCATATATCGGTACCAATATTACCACATTCATCCTTCGATTCATTTTGTCGTAAGAGAAAAAGGAAAAGTTGACGTTAAACGCACCACACAAGGAAAATGTCTCTTATCAACAGATTCATGATCGTCGTTAGCAGGGGTGCTCGGTGCAGCAATTTGCGTCAGGTGTCCAAGTATTCGACGAATTTTAATGACAAGCAAGATGATCCTAACGATTCAATAAAGAAATCAGTATTCATATCGCAATCCACGGATGTGTTCACCAATTTAGCACTTGAAGATTGGTTCTACAGGAACTACGACTTCACAAATCAGCATTTATTACTTTTATGGCGTAATGATCCTTGCGTGGTGATCGGACGTCATCAGAACCCATGGATCGAGCACAATGCTCAAGTGGCCGAAAAACGTGGTATAGTGATGGCCCGTCGGAATAGTGGTGGCGGTACTGTATATCACGACACTGGTAATCTGAATCTATCGTTTTTCACACCGCGGGAACGATACGATCGAAAATACAATCTGGGTATCATAACGAGAGCACTCTATCGAGAATGGGGTATTAAAGCTGATATCAACAAACGCGAGGACATTGTCGTGCATGGCGAATACAAAGTATCCTTTAATGTAATGTATAACACGTATATTTCTATTTAATATCTGCACAGGGTGTTCCAAGATTCAGTGGCGTAACTAGGGCATGAATAGCGCATGCACCCCTCTATTCCCTCTCCGAATAATATCTTATAATTTAAGTACTAATAGTTACACAATTTATATGTAATATAAATAAAGGAACTTCCCTCTAAGAAAGCTTCCCATAGATTTTAGCATGCTGACTCCAAGCCACACAATTGCTGGTTACGCCACTGCCACGAATACAAATTTTAAATGAGTTTACTTTGTTCCATTATAAATTTAATGGAATGATATACGAAGATTCTATAAAATTTGGTATCTGTTAATTCGTAATATAAATAAAATTGACTTCGTAAAATGATACGCATTTACATTCTTGCGTGTAGAGGTGCATGCTATATCCTCTTTGATAATGAAAAGTCTATGTATGCGCATATCGATACAAAACTTCTATATAGCGATGTATGTTCAAAAATTCTTATCGTTTTTCTCTAAGATATCCTTATCGAAGAAACTATTTTCGTATATCGGCAGATTTGTATTTTGTTTTTCTTATTGTCTATTTACAATTTACAAATAGTTACGTAACTTGATAAATACCGAACATTAATTGGAACAACCTTCTCAATAGCGACGCTACGCGTGTCGCGAAAATACGATCTCTGTTTCCTTAACTTTATTAAAACGTAGGTATCTGGCACTGCTGCAAAATTAGGACGACCGAATGCATACCATCACTGCACGCTATTGGTTGATGTAAATAAATCGGCTTTAAGCTTAGCTCTTGAGAGAAAAGAGGTAAATATTTGTTGATCAATTATCGCATAATTCGTCGTACAAAGTCTACCGAGAAGTTGATCGAGCATATATGTATACCGGGCGTCTCGAGATAAGTGTCCTGCGAAGTAATTGCCAAATGATGAGAGATACAAACACAAACAACAAATCTCTATTTCAAAGTTAATCTAAGGTCATATATTTTTTTCATGTATCTCTTACATTGAAGAATTTACTTTGTACAATGCTTATCTTATAAGATCCTGTATACTTTAGTATGTAAAAATCTATTTATTATATTACAGAGCGGTATAGAAACCAATGCTACAGCCTCTACACGATCTCCCATAAAAAACTTAATCGACGTAAATTCACACATACGCATGGACAAGCTTATTAATGCATTAGGTTGGGAATACCTTCGCACGAAAGCGCTTATTTTAGAAGATGGTGGACAAGACCTTATTCAACGTCAGAAAGGATTTCAGTTTATCAATCCTACAGAAGATTGGTTCCCAGGTACGTAACTATGGAAAAATCTTAAGGCCTCAGATGTTGAATATCCATGAGCAATTTAATAACATGTCATTTTGTTTACAGGGCTCGATAAATTAATAAGCGAGTTCCGTTCCTGGGAATGGAATTACGGTAGGACGCCGAAATTTACGGTGACTCGTGTTCTGGACGTCCTTGTCCAAGATAGCAAAGTACATCAGTTCAATCTGACGTTAGAAATACAAAATGGTATCATCGAGGAAATCAAAATGAGACTTCCACCCGGTTTGGTATCAAATGACTTCAGTCAAGACGCGAGCGTGATAAGTAATCTACGCGGGACGAGATACGACCACGAAGTAACGGAAAATATAATATCCGCCATCGGTTGCAAGACTGTTACGTTAAGTACAACCCAAAATGAAGATAAAACTAATATGATTGCTACGCAATGATTAGACCCGACAAACAATCGCTACGATTGTGCTTAAATTGCTGTTGTTGCGTTTAAAACAGAACGGAGTTGTATCGTAAATGGTTTTTTTTTTTACAAACTCATTGTTACTCGTTGTTATATGTGTATGTAATATATTGTAACATAAACTGCAAGATATGTATCCTAGACAATGTATCTGTAATTTTATATTTTTGCATTACTAACAGTGTGCGTATGATCCTTATAAATCGTTTGTGTTAATAAAAACAGTTTGCGAATCTAGTAAGTCCTCTACTTATGGGGTTAATTGGATCTGTATCTCGTCGCGTTAGTCGAATTGTCTAAAGGGCAATTGCAGTTAAATAGAGCTATATGTATTTTTTTATATAAAGAAGAACTGAAAACTCGAGGACTTGTTGTATACTCATTAATGATTGTTTATGAACAATTTGTGTACTGAATTTATATTTAACCTGCTTTCTCGGAAACTGTTGTGAGTTCAACTGACGTTTACTGGTCAATGACCGATAGTTAATGATGCATGCACCATTATTTAATAAGGTCGCATACAAAGTATGTAACGCGTAAAGCTTTGAAAGTTGAAGACTTGATAAATTATTATGTAGAGCGCTACTTATGCGCATTTTGTCCCAGTTATGACACAACAATAAGCTACCTTCGTGTACCTTTCTCTGTATCCGGTATTATTGTTATTTAAATTTGAATGTCTCTACAGGCAACGATAAAGGCTTGGTCGTGACACAACTTCCCTATAAGATGGCGGTGGAGTGCTTGGGGAAGGTTCTGCCAGGCTTGTATCACTCTCCATACTATTTCGTAAATATGGATTCATCAACAATGAGTGCCTTTGGAAATCGTGATACTCCAAACTCAAATTGCTATCTCGACGACGATATCTAGTACATATGTATTTTCCAGAAAACCAAAAATATGAAATAAACATTCCACACGCAACACCAGATATGAAACCGATAATAAGAAACAAAAACACATTAATAATCTGTTGATTCGCTATATGCTTGTTCGTCGACAACCTTTTGTTGTTTAACGAGCTCGAGGTGTTGTAGGTTACTGGTTTAGTTTTCTCAATAGTTGTATTTCTAATTATACTCCAGGAATGGTCATTTGTTTGTTTCTTTATAGGTGGAAGGATCATTTTTTCAAATTTCTTCGGGTACATTTTTTTGAAGCAAACTTCATCGAATTTCACCTCTTTGTGCTTGAGGTGTATTTGCAGATCGTGCATAATTTCGTTGCAAGACCATGGATTTCTAGAAAGAAATAGCACGTTTAAATTTCATTTGTACTATAACGGTCTCTTGTATATCTACACATGGTAAAATGTTTGAAAATTGAACAAATTTGGTTTTAAACCGAACGATATTAATAAAATGCGATACACATAACGAATTATAAAAATTAAAACATGATTTTCATTAGGATCAATTATTGTAACGATACCCTGTTAGAGATAGTTTTTTCAAACGTTGCAATGTCTGCACGACAGCACTACTCATCTGAATCATCAGATTGTTCGAAAGATCGAGGCATTGGATACGCGGGAGTCCATTGAACATGTCCATGGGTAAATGACTAATCTGACATGAATCCAAGCTTAGCTCCTAAGCAGAAATTCATTTTATATTGTTGAATGTGAAATCAGCTGTTACTATACGATGGTAACTGTCTTTTCTACCGTTGACAGTAATAATTTCGATACATAGTATAATAAACATGCACTGTTGTTTCCGTTATTACCGTCAGCCAAGGCGATCGAAATTTCGGAGGATGCAAGTTAAAATTATTCCTCGACAATTTTAAAATTCGTAAATTTTTGTTTTGCAAAAAAACGTCGTCCGGAATGTCGTAAAGATGGTTTTTGGACAAATCCAAGACTTTTAAATCGTTAAGATTATCGAAAGCATTCAAGCCGATTTCACTGATTGTATTTCCGGAAAGATTAAGATGTTTCAGACTTGTCAATCCAGCATTCTAAAACAATATATATACATTTCACGCAATGCTATAAATCGACAATAAAAAATATTTCGCCGAAGTATAAACTTACCGCCAACTCAAAATTATTTAAAAAAGATATTACGTTATTCGACAAGTCCAAAGCTTGCACTGTGTTTGGTACACCTGTATATACGTTATAAAGATGGCGGCCCGTGCAAGAGGCACGCCGCAACATGTACCAAGTGTCACATACACAAAACGAGGGACATGTTTCCAAAGATTGGCTTGAAACTATATTCACGATAAAGTTTAGAATAATTGTCACGACCAATCCAACGATGATGCCATCGGTCATGGTAATAAAAAGTTAAACGAACTTTACGAAGACACTTTATATCGATACTTTAGCTAACAATTTACCGTAGCAACCTCACTTATTATAGGGCTTGCGTTTTCATGAAGCTCGCGATCGACTTGGTAACATAATCTTATCTTAAAACACGCCTATGTGTATATCGCGTGGATGTGTTAACAATCGAGATACGTCATCGTAGAGAGTCTGAATCAGGTATGAGCACACTCGCATATTTTTTCATTGAAAATTCCGTAATTCACTTGAGTAAATACTTGTATCTGCAGATCGACCGTGGAAGATCGTCCGAAATACAATTCGACGAAAACACAGTTGTTTACAAGGAAGTGTTCGCGTCGTTTGGTATTTCCACATACTTTTTCAATAAAATTTCGAGTTTCGAGGTAAACAGGATTTCCCTTGACGAATGATAGTGGAAGATAGAGGAGCGCGTAGTTAGGGATTAGAGATTATTTATCAGTCCGTTCATACCAATTCTTTGAAACTGACCGACACGCTTTGTGAGCAGGAACAATGGAGTATCAGTAAACAGGGGGTAATTCTTTGAAAAGCAACCGCACCGCAAACCAAACCTGATGACCGTGATAAATTTGGTTATAAGAATCAGCGCCGATAGAAAATAAAAAATCGATATCAATACTTCTAAAGCGTACAACACATTTTCAAATATTTAGCTGAGTACTCATTCATTGCACACTTGAACCACATTCATAACAACATAAACGTTTTAAATAATACATTGATAAAAATATTCTTTTATTTAAAGCAGCAATTATTTTTCTGTATTACAATAGCATTACAATAATGTGCGGCAAGTTATTGCGATGCATTGGTGACTTTGTTGATTCTGTCGACTTTTCCTTTTAAATGGGCCTCCAAAAATCCATTTTACGTATGATTTATGACAGTGTAACGCGTCACTGGTGATTGGTGAAAATTAAATGTTACTAGCCCTTGGCACCTCTTCGAAGCAAAGCGAGGGGTAGCATTCTGTGAGCTAACAGCGCAGCGTGTTTATTGCGCAATATCCACGGAAATAAATCTAGGATAGGCTGCTGAGAACGCGTGGACCGTTGCCTTCTATTCGGCCTTACCGTCCCTCTCCGCTGACCCTTCGCATCTTCCGGCCATTTTCATTGCTCGTCCTCCACGCCGCCATGACAAGCATACGGTATGCCATTGCAACTGCCTCACCTTTACTCGACGACGCCGCATGGGATCGATTTATCCGTGGAATAGTGGTTACCGAGATAAGCCGGCTGTTCGTTGACGTAGTCATGACTCCCCGTGCTCATCGGAATCATCGCTCCCAATGGACAAATGATCACGGTCGTGCACCAGTTTCCGAAAGTATGATACTACGCATCGGATTAAGAAAGTGAATCTTCGTTGTCGAAGACTCTCCACTCAGCAGTGTTTCGTCACTGGCGCCCTCAGCTGATGCGAACTACATTAGTTCGAGACGTTATTACAATTAAATGTTATGGTTAAGTGTGATAGTTTACGATTGATCCTAATTATTCTAGAAGAAACAATTTGTGAAAAATTTATATATAAACATTATCTAAATCACTGTTGGTCGAGTACGATGTCAATGGTAATAATTCTTAAAATAATGGTAATAAGCGCGAAGAAGTCTGACAGAATATATGAATTTATTAAATGGATTACGTATCGTAAGAAGCGTTGTATCAAGTGAAAAACAGGAAATAGTCGAGACACGTAAGGATAATGCTAGTTCCAAGCAATCGCATCAGTCGAAAATGAAAACTTTCCTAAATTATTTAGTTTCTTTTCATTATTTTTGAAAAAAATTGCCCTTTACCTATACGGGATCTTGCAGTTTTAATTGAATATTAATTAATCGCGACGCTGCGTTCCAAAAATAAATGAACACACGATGCGAGCAGTCACGTTACCGACTCGACGAACGAATTTTTGTCACTGCATCTTCGGATACCTGTTTGTAATTTTCGTTTCGTTTATTTTGCAAGCAGCACGTGTCTGTTTTTTAAATAAATAAAACGTATACATTCCTCACGGTGTAGTGACAAGCCTTGGAAATAGTTTCGAAGGTGAGGTTCTTTGCAACACATTCTCCAATGCTCGAGCGTCTCACAGATATTTCACTCGGCGTGTGTCGTCACCGACCTTCTCAGCTGACGTAAAATGGCCGCCTTCTACTGACAGCTGAACTACGAACATGGCTTTTCTCTGCTAAAACGTCATTTGTGAAGACAAAATATGCACGTCTCCTTTTGGTGCAGATACGACTCCCTGTCGAACTAAAGGTCCCCGCGAAATTCAAGGTATTTCATTAAAAACATGACACAGTATGGCATTACAGCGGCAGTAGGAGTGTCTCACGAAGCGAGGATTCTTTGACGAGAGTTTTGTACATGTCGGCAGACCGATCACTCGCACGGATTTCGTCACAGGCGTCCTCAGCTGACGACAAAATGACCGCCTTGTGTATTTAATGCTACCAGCTGATTGCGAAAGTCTCGTTTGTAAAAATCGTACACAATCGGCGATTTGAGTTGTTTTTCATCGCTCGATTATCCAAATGACGCGAATGCATGTACACGGCTTATGTACAGGGTCCGCTAAACGAAATGAATATGAAATTCTTAACATTCGATGGTACGTGTTATTTTCTGTATTTTCGTAAAAGAATGTAGTACTGAATAATAATAGTTGAAAAACTTATCGCCTTGAAAAACTAGATGCAGTAACTGCAGTGGTTAGAAGTGGTGTGTCGAGATCAAGAATAATCTTTGAGAGGAAAATACACAATCTATATTGTAATAATAGGTGAAATTTATAAGCATTAAAAATATTGTATCGTTATTGTAACGTGCATTTTCTTTTCTTAAAGATTTACAATAACCAAAGGTTCTACGAAATCTTAATCCGTCGGTGATTGTGTATAAGTCAGAGTGTACTTGGCTGCATGGAGGGAAAAGAGAGGGACGCCAGAAGGGACGCCGAGTACAGCCGTACGAAGAGTGGAGAGGGCCGAGAAAGTGGAGGGTCTCGTCGAGCGGAGCACTTTGGCTAGAGTTCTGGCCTGCGATTTTTTCCCGTTCTTCTCGTTGTCCGGGCGAACGGCCAATGAGAGTAAGTAGGTCAGCGCGCCCATCCAATCGGCGCTCGAGGCCGGGTCACGTGGGTTTGTTGTTATCTATCAGCTGTTTTTCCCGGGCGGGCGGTGCGGCCGGCCGGCGCAGTGAAAGCCGCTTGGTAGTCTCTCCTCAGTCCCTCCCGGTCGCTCAGCTGTGCGTCACATGTCGGGTACCGCGAGTCCTACTCTTGCCAGTGTACCATCGTATCGTGTATCCGCCACCGTGAAGCGCCGGATTTCCACTTACCGGCAAGCGTCAGTCATATATTATGCTATCTACCGCGTGCATGCCAACGTATTATCACGAATCGATCACCAAGTGCCTCGAACATGCGGACAACGGCGTGACAAACGCAGGCAACGGTGCACGCCGTTTTGTTGATACGTTGAGTTCTGTGTTCAGGCCGCGAAGGCCACCGCGTCCTTTCACGGTTTAGAAATCGATCCTCGTCGATTTCGTGCAAAACTGCCGGATCCCCGAGCCAGTGCATACACATTTTCGTGGAACGATGACCTAAAACGTCAGCGTCCTTGACGGGAAAGTTCGGTAAAGTAGTAAACAAAAAAAGAAATCAGAGTCGTCGATTCGTCTCTATTCGTTGCGATTCGTGCATCGGAGTATCTACCATTTCCCGTGAATGTGTCTCCGAATGGTCGATACCGTAGGTACAATATCGATTGTGTCGTTCGTCGTGAGTTTCGAACTGTTGGATCGCGCGTGCATCGCCCCCTGTCGCACGGTGTAATCGATCGATCGACTTATATCGTTTACGGAGCCGCGTTGACGCGTGTTCGGAGTGGTGTTTCGTCGTGGAAAGCTGGAAACAGTCGTGAAGAAACTAGTGCAAATGATCGTTACGCGTGACCATTCGGTGCGAGATACTTTCGAGCGCGTAACAAGACGCCACGGTGTCCCGTGAATAATCGGTGCTGACGAACGATATATATCGATTTTATCGGGTGGTCAACCGAGAAAGTCGTTCATTAGCAGATCCGACGAATAATGTCGACGGGCAAGAGGCTGGCGAAACGCAGCATAATCGGCACCAGAGTGTGTGCTCCCGGCGAGGACGGGAAGTATTATAGCGGCGTAATTCACGCCGTGAAAACGCCGGCGTCAGCCGCCTCCGAGTCAGGCCTTAGCATTACACCGAAGACTCGTTACTCTGTGCGGTTCGATTCCGTGCCTGGTGGACGTCCACCGAGTCCCAGCACCGAATACTCCGATCGGGACCTGATCGGGCCAGGTTTCGGTTCCGTCACCACCGCGCGACTCGTGCCTGGACAGAAAGTTTATTTGACGTACAACGGACGGGAAATTCACGCCGAGATCACGCAGCATCGCGAGCATCTCGACGAGGTGGACGTAATCATTGCTCCCAACGGACAAGAGGTGAGTGACAGATTTAATTTTTTTTTTTTGTTTCTTGACTCTTTTCTGCGCTTTCGCTCGCGTCGGTGTCGGTTTGAAAAGCTCTGTCGAAATAAGAAAGAAACGGAGCAGAGTCCGGTGCGAGGCAGTCTATTTTCTAAGTTTTTACAAGATGTCTACGCGTATATACAATGTTTTATCGTAACGTGTCAGCCATGTTCGAGTTATGGCGGGAGAAGTATTCGGACATAGACAAGCGGGAAAACGATGCTTTAGAAAATACATTTTTTATGCTTTTTATTGGAGGCGGTGGGTGGGTGGGGGGGGGGCGTTGAATATACAAATAGGTATCAAAAATTTGAAGAAACGATAAAATTATAGAGACATCCGCGCTTGAAAATTTATTTATATGCGTGAATAGGCAGGAGAGGTTAGCGTGGGAGAAAGATTTTATGCATTTGTGCGCAGTAGGTTATTTGTGTCTAGGATGTGTATGACATATGCCGTAAGAGTTGAATAACAAATTTGACATGTATCGTAATAGTTTTCCTCCCCTCATCTATATTCGATGCAACAGAGTTTCACTTTTATCTACGCCGGCGTCTCGGGTCTCTCGAAATAGCCACGGGATAGTCATTCTTTCCCCGCGAATCGCGACGAGCATTTTGAAAGAAAAGGAACAAAGGTTCCACGAGTGAAGCACGTTAAGCATAACGAGGTTTGATACGTCATCCGTACGGCCGCCGGGTCTCGTTGCATCCAAGCAGGTAGCGTGCATCAAACGCGACCCACGCGCCTGCGCAGACGCTGGGCTCCTCTCTTGGTCGGCGAGAATGCCGGGAGACTATAGCTTTCTAGAGCGGGGAAACGCGTTCTCGCGCGATAACGCCGCCCGGCATCATCGATGACATGCTCGACGAATTGCAGCGTGTTTACATACACCCGAAGGCGATCTTTCGTTGGCAAAGTATAACGTAAGGACTCGGCGTTGACAGGTCGGGAGTCGCCGGGCGTGTGCGCGTACGCCGTTAATCAGAAAATTTAATTTTCGTGACCTCGTTCCTAAAGCGACCTATAGAGTGGATGTTCCATTTACGCGACGCGCATGACCGAAGCGTGCTCCCTCTGTACGGGCGGGATAGAGAAGGATAGGAAGGGAGAAACGTTTACCTTGCTACATTGCATCTGAACGCGAACATAGTCAGAGGCATAGCCAAAATTCTCCATCCGGATAAGACGCATCAAAAGTCGAATAAAAGATGGCTTCTTATCCGTTACTCGTCGAATAGAACCCCCCCCCGAGTTTCAAGCTACGGAATAGGAATATAACCGTATTTTGGTACGTTACTTTGCGATGTTCTTAGCCGCGGCGACTCACGATATGCTACGTTCCGTTAGTGCCAAACTATTTATGTTTTTTGGACAGATGTCGCCAAACGTCACGAAAAATATTTAAATAGAAATAAATTACGCGCGACTTTTATTACTGAAAGAATAAGTACTTTTTACCGAAAGATAATGTTACCGAAGAGATAGGAAATTGCACGATATACGAGGGACGCCAGTCGATTTTCGACACGCCTCCGTCGAGTTACGAGACGCGATCTAGCTAGCGATCGGATGACGAGGCTCTCGGGAGCCATGGGTGTTCGCAGATTCGTAGAAAAGCGTAGCGAGCGCTTATACCCCATAAAACGAGGGATAGCGCTGTTACGGTCGGTCAGGCGTGGCGGAGAAATATACGCAGCCTCGATACCGCTATGTGGGCGCGGTTAGATTCGTAATGAGAGGCACTGGCGGAGCGGTATCCGTAAGCAAGGCCTTTACGTGTGTATGGGGGAGAGCTCGGTTTATGCGCGAAGCGAGTACGGGTAGTATGTACTTACTCGCCAGTGCACCGGCTACCGGTGACCCCACGTGGAACGCATTAGCGCAATATCTTTCTACCTCCGTTAGGTAGCTCAGGCGTGACCGCGGTTCCATTTCGTGGAAACTTTGCCGCGCGCGCTCGCCGGTTCGCTCGCTCGGGGAAAAATGAACCGGATCTGGTCAAACCGAAGTGTCCGGTTCCGATATTTTTATGTTCAGCCAACGGATCCCGTCCTGTGATTACTGGTATTCGTCAGGAAATTTGCTGTCGCTCTGGGCGGACTCTGGTTACTCCTAGCTAACGTTTTTTATTCTCTACATTTTGATTCGTATCGAAAGCGATGAATTTCAGGGTGCAATGTCAGAAAACTTTCAATCGACGTTTACCGCTTCGCGTGCTCTTATTTGCATTCGGATAACGATGCTCGTAGTCGGCAATCGTTTGAAAAACGATGCTTCTTCTCCTCACACTTGGTTAAACAACCATTATATTCTTTCTTAAACGTTAAACCAGACTGGCAAATTTGACCCGTGTACTTGAAACTTCTTCGTAAAATCTACCCAATCGACAATGGTTTTAGCTCGAGTTTTAAACCAGAGACCACGTTTTCCATCGATTGAATAGAAATTTCGTTCACACCATAAAATCGATCCTGGTCGATACGAAAGCATGATTGGACCGGACGCGATGACGTCACATCGTGGTATTACTGTACACGAGTTAGAAACGCGTGTTTGCCTCAAACTTTGCGTCAGATTTATTTCTGGGCGCTAACCACGGTCGAGCAACGTCTTCTCGCCCCCTCTTCATTGACTATGGTCGTCCATAACCTTTAATCGGCGAGTGTCTCAATTAATGCACCGATAGACTACACGGCGATGCAAATAGTTTCGCGCGTCAGTAGCTGTTTACACTCGCGAGGCGTACACGGCTGACTTTTAGTGACGTCGAAGGTCACCGAAGCGTGAATCGGTAAATACTGGACAACGTTTACCCGTTGGCGCAAGTATGCACGCGTAAGTGGTAATTTTCAAGCTCCCTCGCGTTCCCATAGGTATCCTCCGCTCGTAGATGCGTCGTTCGTGTCTCGAACGTATCATTTTAGCAACGCTCGGCTCGCGATTACGAGCTGGCTTCCACACAAGTCTTACAAACATCCTTTACCGAGATCGTTAACCCTTTATCGTCTGAGCTCCTACTCTGTTCACCCAAAGAGTGATTCTTCGAGATTATTCATTGAAACTGTTGTTCTTGTTCTCGGATACAAGACATCTAGGACTCCAGCTAAACTTCAAGTTTCTGAACCTCGTTCCATTTGTGGGAGGTGAGGGTGGGAGATTGAGCGCCACTGGCGGGTGCATTTCACCGCGACGGTGAGGCAGCGCGCAACATTGTACAAGTTAATGCGCTCCAAGGCGGCGTGCATAGTGCGGTTTCGCCGTTAAGCGCGATCCATCGGCTCTATCTACGGCCACCACGGAAATATCCGACCCGCGGGGCGCATTCGAAATAATGGCCGCGTTTAACGGTGTCACTGGTCACCGGCACGGGCGTGAGACGATTGAGTAAGAGATCCCGCGCGCGCCGGTTTGTGCGTGGATCCAAAGATAGATATCCCGGCACCGGCTGACCGAACCTAACTGGTCCCGACTATACGTACAACCGTCTCATCCGTCGGCAAGTACGCGATGTAAACAATCGTGCGGGACTTATTTTTTTATCTAGCCATTCCTATAAATCGAATCATTGCTGTATGAGGTCCAGTGGGCTCCAACAGCCTTTCCAATGTGTCCTATCTCTGAATATCAAAAAGTCAATTAAATACGATACAATTCCTCGGTTCGACGTAGGTTCTAGTTTTGCTTCTTCTAAACAGACCCTTTCGATTAGCTAGGTTACAGGGCTAGGTGATACAGCAATCTTCTAGTTTCATTCTCGTCACTCACTTATCCTCGCTCAAACTATTATGGTACGTTCAATGAGATGATGAAGTGGATCCAAACAATACCACGTGACCAGGGTCGTACCGGTATGAGGTTCCCCCCCTGATAGAATCTATACGAGCTACCATTCACGTATGTATATAAATAGCAGTTGACAAATAGAATCACTTTACAATTTTACGTTGACAAAAGAAACTATATAAAGATAGCGGGTACGGAAATAATAATAATAATAATGTCTATTCCCTTCTTCCAACTTGGTAATTTCTGGCTTTCTCTTCTTTTAAAGGGTAGTTATAATTAATGTTGTGATCCCCAAACGGTTAACTTCTGTAGCTCGTATATTTCTATTCATGTTTTTCAATGGGTACGGAGAACGACTCATCATTTCGAGCCGAGTTGTTTACGAGACCAAGGAAGCCGGCCACTCCTTCAATTACATTTACACTCGAAAGGACCTCGTTAAGCTTGTCGAGCGACGCGTTACAGGAGCCGTGTCCGCGAACAACCGTGCGATGTAAACAAGTCTCTGGATACGCGTGCCTGGGCTCGTCCAGCCGGTGACGTAGTCGTTATCTATCCGCCACCGACACTTCCGGCAAATATGCCTTATCTTCAATTTGCTCTCCTCCTTTACGCTTCTTCATCGAACGGGCGAGCTTCGCCCGGAGAATCCGGTATGTTTAATTTCTCCCGTTCTCAGAACCGACGAGCGTCCATCCAACAGCTGCTGACAGCTCGATGATATCCGACGGATTATTCATTGCTCTAGTTGCTCGCGCCGCGCAGCAGCAGGTGGCCAATCTCTGTCTGTATCGCTCCCCTTCTTCGCCCCGATCCGTTCGAGGTTGCGAACTCTCTCCGAAAGAAATTAATTATCGTGAGCTCGATGCATCTCGTCTTTGTTCGGGGGTATCGCGATTAATTGGCGAATGATGTAAGCTCGCATCGATCTAACCGCCAAAACTGAATCCAAGAGCACGTTTGTTGGTTAATTAGAGAATTACGAGTCATTTAGATATTACTTGTGTAGTGTACCCTATACCGAACAATACGGAGTTAGACAAACATGCCTCGAAGGAAAAACCTCGGCTGAGCCAATCTTAGGGATTCGAGTTCCGATTTCCCTACATTTTTTTATAATTATTACCGAGTTATTAAAAAACAATTCTAACTACGTATCGATCATACTCGGAACCCAAGGCGTT